ACTTTCCGTACCCACTGTATGTGTATAGTGACAATAAAGGCATTCTATCTTTCTATTCTATTCTAATATGGCAAAGTGCAATATCCAAATCACAGAAGCTGATTTTGTTTGATAAATTTGTGACAAACAGTATTATAATAAAGTATTGTAGTGCTGCAGAGATGACCTGGTCTACAAACCATGCTTTTCCATGTTCGTTTGTCACAGATCCCTATACCTTTTTTAAATTAAAATGAAACTATGGTCCAAAAATGATTATTCCCATGTTGTGAATCATATAGCAGAAAAACTGTCAAAAAATAATTGCAATTAGATGGGCTTTTTGTAAACATATTATGCAGCGCAAGTTGATCCGCTCATATTTTACAATCTGGGAACATAAACCAGGCATCACAGGAGTCAGTAATTAACTAGGGGTAAAAAAAAAAAAAGGCATAAGGCAACTGCAGGGGATTAGTACAAAGCGGGCATGTCTGCAAAGGTAAACTTGTGGGTACCCACAGAAACCATTTTCCTTCAGATATCTTGACGTCACAGGTCAAGAGTCCATGCCAGTTTTTTCAGCGCCAAAATTTTGCTATTACGTCATCTAGTTTCATATAAACTATGGACTGTATCTTCACTCTAGCTTTAAAACAGAGCCCAATAATGCCTCTGAAAGACAAATAATTAGGTGGAAATGCCCCTGATCGATAATGGCATTGGTATGAATAAAGTCTTATCAATTTCCATCCCTACACATAACTGCACCAAGTGGCCCACAAAGCAGCATGTGGTTAATTTGTTTGTTTGTTTGTTTCTTTACTTGCTTGCTTTTTTAAGGATTTCTATTTTACAGAAACAACTACATTCATGAGTAATGGAGCCAGAGTATGACATATTTGGCCTTCTGAATGAATATAATTTGCATATGGGAGGGGAAGGGAGGACGGATTGACATTAATCAGATGTATGACAATAACTTTGATCACAAAGCTAACAGAGCTCAGCAGATTCTATTCTCTGTCTGAAAATGAAGGCCCTGGAAGAAGCTGAGCTGTGCTTTCCACAACTCAACAACTCCTGCAGGAAGACAATACGCCCTGAATTGGAAGATGTGCTCATTTACAGTCTGCTGTCCTGCATTACTCTGCTCACTGTGACACTCAACTTGTTGGTAGTCATCTCCATCTCCCACTTCAGGCACAGATAAACTTTTCAGCTTGGCCTATAAATTGTTTGGTTTTTTGGTTACACTTAACATAGTTTTGAGTTAGGCAGAATGTCACATTAAGGTATCTGATGAAAACATTAGCAGATTTTGACAAAGAAAAAGATTATGTTTCTTTGCATGTGCCTTTACTAGAATGTTGTGCTGTTAGGCTTATGGCTACAGGCCAATTCATACTACTAGTGTTATAACTACTACAAAAATGATTCTTACATCTATTGTATATGACAATGTGTTCAGTGTTGATATTTTCCCATTTCAGGCAGCTCCACACCACCACCAACCTCCTCATCCTTTCTCTGGCTGTCGCAGACTTCCTTGTGGGTTTCCTGCAGATGCCAATTGAAATCCTCCTCTTCCAAGGCTGCTGGATGCTGGGTGACTTTGTATGCGCTGTTAATTACTTTTTAGGTTTCCTTATTGTCAGTGTTTCAGTAGGAAACATGGTGCTCATATCAGTCGACCGCTATGTGGCGATTTGTGACCCCATGTTGTACTCCACCAAAGTCACTCTGAAAAGAGTTAAGTTCTGCATTGCTCTGTGTTGGATATTTTCAGCTGTTCACAGCACCTGGATACTGAGGGATTTATTGAAACAACCAGACAGGTATAGATCCTGTTATGGAGAGTGTCTTATTGTAATGAATTATGTTGAAGGAGCTTTTGACTTTGCTGTGACCTTTTTTGGCCCCATTGTTATCATTGTAGTTCTGTATATGAGAGTATTTGTGGTGGCTGTGTCTCAGGCTCGTGCCATGCGGTCACATATTGCAGCTGTCACACTCCAGCGGTCAAAGACAGTAACTGCTAAGAAATCTGAGATGAAGGCAGCCAGGACTCTAGGTGTTGTTGTAGTTGTGTTTGTTCTGTGCTCATGTCCATATTACTGTTTCACTGTCGCAGCTGAGAACAACCTGATGGAGGCGACATCTGTAGTGGCTCAGCTTTGGCTGTTGTATTCAAACTCCTGTCTAAACCCTATTATCTATGCCTTTTTCTACCCCTGGTTCAGAAGATCTATTAAACACATTCTTACACTTCAGACATTTAAGCCCGGCTCATATGATACCAACATACTATAGAGAAAAACTGTGATGGCTAAACCATTCTTTCTCTGCTAAGGGAAAATTATTTTTCATGCTGTTGTCAATACACCAAATTTACATGTCCTAACATCAGGACAATTAAATATAATATGAAGAAAATCAATGTTTATAGAATGCAAAATCACATATACATTTGTCTGTATCAGACACTCTGATTCTTTCATTCTTTGTTTGCTTTTGATTGCCGACACCGGACAATAATTACCTGTATCCAAAAGATCCAATGGTATCCAAGTTTATGGAAATGTACCCAGATCTGCATGTCATATCATATATCATATATAATATCATATCAAAATGAAAATAAAATCTGTCTAAGATCCAGTCTGTAATCTTCTGGATACAGACAGTATCTGTTCGTATCCAAAAGTATCACCACATTGGTTGTTAGTGCATTTCTTTGTTTATTATGTGTATTCTCTGCTTCAGTTATCCCATTAGAATGACAATAGAAAATTATTTTAAAAAGAATATTTGTTGAGTTTTTGTTGAAAAATCTTGTGAATGTTATTTTTATGGCAACACAAAGACCTGTAGCCTATAAGGATAACCACCAAACTTCAGCTCTGATTTGGGACTTGGTTTTAGGGTAGAGTAAGGTAATTCACTGTGTTTGATAATTTCAAAACAAATATTATTTCTGTCATCTGCTTATAATACTAGGCTGTTAACCTGTAATAATGCCATGTGTTGCAGTTGCTAGTTCAGACAACTGGCACCTTTTTTATTCCAATTCAAGCACAGTTATATATTGGTTTGCTTTGTTTAAAAAGTAAAAAAAATAGGATCTGTTTGTGCACAGTAATTAAATGGAATCAATGAAAGTATCAATAACTTATAACGTTAATATATCAATAAGTACTATCAATGAGTGGATGTATCAATAGAATTTTCATTAGCAATCCTTAAAAATAATATATAACAGTTACAGTATTAATTTCCCCTCATTAATTGGCAAATGTCAGTTTATAAGGGGTTCTATTAAACTTGTACCAGTTATACCAGTTGTACCACAATACATTTGTATTTATTTTTATTTTATTTTTTTATAACAATTTTGGTTACGGAAACACACCATTTTATAATCCGTCATACTATACGACTATAAGGACAAAAGGCCTTGATATAACAGTGTATGGTTGACACAATATCAAGTGTCTTAATAACATATTATGTTTGCTTCACTCCCAGTATCTGTCACCTGGGCTTTCAAGTGAATACAATTGGCCATTATTTAACCTGATTCTGATTCCTCCCAGTAATAATACCATTCAGCTTCTTTCATGCACTGTACCTGGTTGTGGCCAGCATTGTGCTACAGCCACTGATCACCTGAATTGTAAAAATGTGTTGACCACACCCATGTGTATTTTGAAATTTAGGAGTTTTGGAACAACTAAAGTATTTGTATTTCACAAAATAGGCGGTACCTAAGCAGGGTGTGGGTGTGGCTTAAACATGAAGTGGGTGTGGTTAGCCAGAGGTAATTGAAATTGATATGTGTTGATCAGAAGTTGCTACATGAAAACTACTTACAGAACAACCCCAGAATTGAGCTTCAGAACAATGTTTTTGATTACAAGAGTAACAGATGCATTTACAGGAAAAGTATTTTTTTATAAGATTTGCTATATTTATAAGTACTGATATTGACACATTTTACTCTGATGATACTCGTACTGGGAAAAAGTACATTATCTGTACCAGATACTTGTTTCAACTAAGTACTCGCTCAATTAATAAACAATTTAAATTTAGTTTTAGTGGGTTTGGGGGTCTGTAAGTAAGGTATACGGGTGGGCAGGATATGAGCGAATTTGACAAGGGCCAAATTGTGATGGCTAGACGACTGGGTCAGAGCATCTCCAAAACTGCAGCTCTTGTGGGGGTGTTTCCCGGTCATGCAGTGGTCAGTAGTCCTATCAAAGTCCAAGGAAGGAAAAGCGGTGAACCGGAGACCAAAGCTCATTGATGCACGTGGGAAGTGAAGGCTGGTCTGATCCAACAGACGAGAATACTGTAATTTACTTCTTTTTACTTTACTTTACTGAACTCAAGTTCATCTTGTACAAATGTTCTGTAAATAAAGAAAATGCCATTAAAACCCTTTTGGATAATGGGTGAATCAGTATTGATCAGTCCCAGTCATGATTGAGAATGTAACGAGTATTCAGCAATAAACATAACATGCACGCTCAATTTGGTTTGGTAGCTGTCAATGTACATTCAATATTTCTGCCTGACAGTTCACTGTTGCTGCACAATTAATCAGAATGTTATCAAAATCACAATACGGCGAAGGGCAATATCCAAATCACAGAAGCTGAAAGTTTTTTGATAAAGGTTACATTTAAAACCATAACAGTTTGACTACTGGACTACTGTAATGCTGTCTTAAATTATCAGTACAGAAGTCTAAATCATATACATGTAAAGCAATAAGTATAATGCATAAATCTTTATTTGTTTTGTTTTTTGGATTGGACTATATAATGCCATAGTAATTAACTTTAGGGCCAAAGCATCGAATGTGAGTGTTTATAAATGTATAATTTCAAAACTCATTAAATCTTAAGCCATTTTTTCACAGATCCATTGCAAAGACACGTCACACTGCAGATCATTCCAGTTTGCTTCAGTTTTCATGTTAACTGTGAAATGTGCACAGTCCTCTTCACCCAACTGTGGATCTCCACCACCACTGTCAGGCTGACCTTTCGCCCAGTACCTAGGAGGTTATTGAGAAGGTGAATTTTCACAGCATTTCCCACTTCAATTTTTTTGGTAAGTTTAAAAAGAGAGAACCCACCCACTAAAGTCAACCAATATGTTTTTTCTGCATGTAGAACAGCTACTGTATGCTTGCAAGAAATGTTATAAATTAGGGTCAATCTGATTCTGAACAGTTATTTAGACAGTCATATGCATATAAATGTCATAATGTATATGTTGTATATGTGCCTATATTCAAAAAAGGTGTAGAACATTTACTGAATGCCTTACGCCAGAGTCAGTGGAGTTTCATCAGTCCATTTCCAGGTGCCCTCATTGTCTCTGTCAGTCAGACCAATCCAGGTGCCCTTCCTGATGTTTTTAGTGAGGAATTCCTGTTCAAGGAAAGAAATCCCTTCTTTTAGTTTGAACCTTATTACATATGAAATTTGCATTGATTAATCTCAATCCAATAAGATTCACTTAAAACTTGAACTAACATAAAATAAATATTAAATATTACTACAATATATTATATTATAATATAATATTATTAATAATATACATATTTAATTATATACATATTTAGAACCTTATGTCCATATCTGTATCATCTGTACAGCTTTAAATACAGATGTAAATGATGTGATGAAATGTGATGTAGGACCTTGTCCTCGTCTTCCTCTACAAGAGACGCTTTATCCGTCTCTTAATTCAACAATCATCATATTATTTTGATTATGTTCCACCAGGAGAGTTCAGAAAGGCCTCTTTCTCTGACCTTTTTGACCCAGGAAAGGAGATAAGACTTTGCCGTGCCAAGCAGTCCTTCGACAGGAAG